AGGGGCTGCGGTGAAATATTGGGGGTCTAAACCGACCTCTGATATTTCCCTTTTAAAATAGAAAAAGAGATTTAGGACACAAAGTCCTCTCTCTCTTTTTCTGTGTCCCCTGTTATCAATGAACAGGAATCCTCTATGAGTGTTCCTGATCATTCATAACATGAGGACAGCATGTGTTTACTATAACCCCAATCATGAATGAACAGGAGGAGGGGATGTAGATCACTTCCCATTCATTCATAATTGGGGATATAGTACACATACTCTGTCCTCAATTATGTACGAACACTCCGATCGCTGAATGTTTGTACCCGCTCTCCTCTCTGACACGCTGTCACAGGAGGCTGAGTGGGGCGGTGCAGGGAGGAAAGCTCAGCCTCCTGTGACAGCGCGGCCTGTCTCCGCCCACACAGCGCTCTGCCGGACTGTGATAGGCGGCAGAGCGGTGTGGGAGGAGGCGCCGGCCACTCACAGCGCTCTCCTCCCGCAGCGCTCGGCCGTCACACTTTCTCTCCTCCCAGCTAGGACACAGAGCAGCGCCCAGCGGGGAGGAAAGAAAGCAGAGATGCGCCGATGTATCGGCAGAAAAATGGCACTTTCGGCATTTAGCCAAAAGTGCCATTTTGGGCCGATATGTTTTGGTGGCCGATATATATCGGAGCATCCCTACAAAACACTTGTCATGGTGACCGGAATGCACAGAATACTTGTACATCATCATGTCATACTTACCTGCCATCTTCCCTTTCTGAGCCCATGTCTCCGTTCTTGGGCCACTGATGATGTAACTCCAGTGCATGTACACGTTCTATATTTTCCTGGCACCCAACTACTAATATTGGCATCTTATGGATGTCACATGTGTGAGCAGAGTGAACACTCAACATTCATCATATTACAAAATCTCTTCTACCAAAAAGCTGAACCCATTAGCAATGTATTATTCCAGCTTTGGAAGGAGGATAGGACCAAGCCTCACCAGATCCGCCAGATTAGGCTCCGAGCCTCCCATGAACTTCCTGTGCTTCCCCACAGCTTTCACCCAAGTGTCAGCAGCTTTGTACAGATCTTGGCGCACGTCGTCTTGTAAGTTGTGCCTGTGATGACACATAAAATGTTAAAATGCTATGAAAGGCCCATAGGATACAAAGGGCATTACGTTACAACCAGTCCCAGCAACACAGACTTTTATACATGTACCCAAAATGATCAACTAACAAGTCCAGCTTTAGCCTGCAACACAAAGGGAACCTGTTATGTACACTAGAGTTCAGCATTCAGACCCCCCCCCCACCCCAACATCCCAAGATCTATGGTGGAGCTGTCACTCTAATGGTGGCTGTTCTGCCATCAAAGGATTGTCAAGGAGTTAATTTGAAGGTCGTGCTGAGAGTGTAGGGAGCCCCTGACCCTGGAGTACTCTCTAAACATCTCCTAAATATAGCTCCAACCAGCAAATCAAAGTGCCTCAGCAGCCAACAGAGAGTTGCAGTGGTTCACTTATTGGATTGTAGGAATGGAAGGGGGATCGGGAGCTGAATTGTGAGCACTAAAAGGGCTCAACAGGAGCAGAAACAACAACTTGCTGGATAAATAGGCCTAAAAATGGAACCTACCAATGTCCAACCGTGCAGAAAGTGACTTGTGTCATGTAACATCAGGTCTGAACCAGGGACAAAATATTCTATGGAGCTTTGTGTTATTCTGCTTTGTGTCAGACGTGCGGAGACTAAGCATGACAGAGCACAGGGAAAGGTCACAGACAAAACATTAAAACACAGACCTGCTTTTCAGTCTCTTGCCGATGAAAAACATGGCTGCCGCTCCCACATATTTGGCGCAAAGGCCTTCCGCAGAGCCGAAGTTCCCTTCTCGTACAATGTAGTCAAACGAGGCGAGTGCTTCTCCTGGGGTGCGGTAAACATTTGGCGAGATTAGGTGGACCAGCCAGTCATCGGCCCACCGGCGCCATTTCATCTCTTCCCTGTAGAGGAGACAATGATTTGTCAAGATGAACTGAAGTCCAGTGCAGCGAGGAGTGCTGAGAATTGGATGTCGGTGAAACAAAACTGCAGCTACACCGGCGTATGGCACAGCATAGAAGAGCCAAACCCTCTGGTCAGGATTCGGCAGGATACCTACATCTAAAGGAAAAAGGTCACTCCATTGAAGACAGTCAAGTACGCATCCTAGACATCGAGGAGGACTGGTTCACAAGAGGTGTAAAAAGAGACCATTTATGTAAAAATGGAGAGGCCAAGCTTGAATAGAGGTGGTGGGGGTGCGGGGGTGGGTTGGGGTGAGACATCTATTGTCTGCCATATACAATGCTGTTTTCACATCTCTCTCTGGGCAGCTTAATAAAACCTGCTAGCTCCAATCATGCAAATCCGATTATCACTAGGGCTGCCAACAACTAACCGATTAAATCCATTCTAAATCGATAATGAGAAGCGTTGGCAACGATTCTCATCATCAATTAGTTGATTTACGATTAGTTGCTGCCGCTCTGCTCCTCCATTCTCCTGCCCGCTAACAAATTAAAATGTGAAATATAATACATACAATTTTATATACAAGGTGGGAAAAGTAATTTTCAATTTCGGCATGACACATTTTGCTGCAGGAGGCGCCTTGCAGTGCCATTCATTTCAATGGATCCCAAATGCACCTCAATGCAACACATCATTGTTTGCTTTGGTACTGAAACTATTGGGACAGGTCACCCCGGTGTATTTTCCAGAATAAACCTTCATGCTGGTCATACGCAGGGACATTTTCAGGCAATCAGCCATTTTCGGTCTCAAAAAAGAACCAAATGGATCAGGGCAGCCTTCCGCCAAAAGATTGGATTATTTTCTGGTCAAACCTGTTTCTGCTTCATTGCCTTGATCCGCTCTGTCCTTTCTGTGATGGAAAACAGTTGGAATCCCCAGCCATTTGCTGAATATTTAAAAGGAAAACTATGGGGGTCAGTGTTTTTCCCCATAGCTCTCCTTAGGGTAACGGGAGGCCAAAGCTCAGTATATAGCGGTATACTGGGACCGCCGCAGCCGGAACGGATCCAGACAATGCTGTCTGGATCCACCCAGCTGCCTGAGTGACAGCTGGCTCTGCCTATCTAGAGGCAGAACCAGCTGTACCCTCCCCCGTCCGTTCCGCCAGTCAGCGCTGGAGGATCGGGCAGGGGGAGGAGGGGGGAATCCCTGCAGGGAGCCATGAGCGACAGTCACAGCTTTCTGCGCGGATAGATCGAGAAGTGAGCGAGCACCGGTATGTGTTCGCTCACTTCCCGATCTACTGAGCCGACCTGTGACAGTCTCATTGTCACAGGTCGGCTCAGATTATGAGGCTGAGTGAAAATCACTCGCTTCATAATTCTCCATTAACCAGCAGCTCATTAAAGGTCAAGCCGAGCACACTACACAGTATACTCACTTCTGCGCCTCTTTGGACCCATACAGCTGCTTGGTTTCCTGTTCGTCCAGCATGAGCCAGTATCTGTTCTGATACTCGGTCACCTCCTTCCCTTTTTCATTTGTGGATTGTATACCTGGATAATAAGACACAATCTCCTCCAAACTTTTCTTCCTGCAAACCAGAAAGAAAATAAACCCAAAATCAATCTACAATGACAATTACACACGTGACTAGGTCCCCCCTTCCAGGGACAGAACTTTCTTAGACTTACTTGGAGATGAGGAAGGATTTCACAGCACTGATGATAACTGAAGAGTCATTTAGTTGCTGCAGAAAGAAAACCTGTATTAGTCATGGCCACTGACTTCTAATGACTACATAGAAACTATAACGCTGGTGAGGGCAGTGTTATGGTTTGGGGCATGTTTTCCTGGCATGATTTGGGCCCTTTAATTCGTGTGGCACAACGTCTGAATAGCACAACATACCAAAGTATTGTTGCTGATCAAGTTCATCCTATCATGTTGATGGCGTATCCCAATGGAGATGGCTTCTTCCAACAAGACAGTGCGCCATGCCACGGTGCTCGTATCGTGCAGGAGTGGTTTCTAGAACTTAAGGGAGACTTTACCTTGCTTCAGTGGCCCCCACAATCACCAGATCTCAATGCAATTGAGCATCTGTGGGACGAAGTTGGAAGAGCCATCAGGCAGCTGGTTCCACAACCATCAAATCTCACAGAACTGGACAGTGCTATTCATCAGGCGTGGTGTCAGATTCCTCGCATCACCTTTCACCATCTTGTGGAGTCAATGCCAAGAAGAATCGCCGCAGTATTGAAGGCAAAGGGTGGCCCAACGGAGTACTGATGGGGTGGTCATAATAATCTGGCCACTCAGTGTATATGTGCATGTCACAGTGTAATAAGACTACTAATGCTGCCCTATATCACCCAGGGTCTTGGTTTCACACTGTTCAATGTGTTATATACTGTATGTCTTCATGCTGGAGAGTTTTATTACTGCCTTCTGTGAATTTGTAATGTTATCTTCTTTTGTTCTTGCAAAAACAATAAATAAATAATAACAATAAGCTATTAAAGTAAAACTTTATATGCTGGTATACGGTGGTAACAAGCCAGCTGACCCAGTCTCTGAAGCGTTGCCACCCCCTAGTGGGCATGTTCTGTTCTGCATCATTCAGCTCCTATCTGCCCATGTCACAGGCTGCAGACCGGCTGAGCAATATACATGACTGGCAGCTTTTCCTCCGCTCTACTTTGCACAACCCAGGGAGAAGGCATGGAAGAATTCCTGCCCACCGACCTGGGCCGTGCAGCGTATGGAGCAGCAAAGCAGTCACATGACCTGCACAACTGAAATTAAAGAGGTATCTCGGAAATATGTAATTTTAGCATCTGAGATTGCGTTTGTTGGTGGTAAGCCCCGATAATGACCTGTACAGAGCATATGGGTTTACAACCACTTTAAAGCTGAACTCCAGACACGTATCAGCTGCTGGCATTCCCCTCTACAGCAAAGCTCAGGCTAGGGGAGGGAGAAGCAGCACAAGGAGCTAACTGATTGTGCTAGGGCTGCAACTAACGATTTTTTTCATTAGTTAGCCGATTATTTTATTCAATTAATCAGAATTTTTTTTTTTTTTAAATACGCAGTGACACCGGACATGTGTAGCACAATCGCCGTTTTTCTATGTAGGTGCACCAGACTTGTGTTTCCGTTAGTATACGCGGGTTTGCAGGGTTGGGGGACTTTCAATTTTTTTTGGGGGGGGATTTTTTATCTCATTGCTATCATCACAGGGGGGGGCTCCTATGTGATGGAGGTGACAGGTTCTCTTTAAGGTGACATTAAGGTGTCACCTTTCCACTTCACTGGATTCAGCTGAATGTCAACACAGCAGGCAGTGGCCTGGAGCAACAGCCAGCCTGTTAGTGGTTATTTTAAATTGCAATAGCCAATAGTTGGCTGGCTATTGCACCCGCCCACTGCCTGTTGTCAATCAGCAGAGGAGGGAACTAAAGGAGAAAGTTCTCCTTCAGGTTCTCCTCTGAAAGGACAAGACCTGTATGCGTTAATTCACTGCAACAGAGAAAAATCCGGTCTTCTACTCCCCCAGACCTGGCTGTGCTGTGTGGTAGAGCTGTGTAAGTGGATGAACATAAAGACGAACCCTTTGCCGGTTATTTCAGCTTTTATATGTATTTCCTCTATTGTGTATTTTTCCATTTGCCTGAAATTCACATTGAAATCTACAAAAGCTTATATGGCAGAAAACTTACCATAGAGCAGCCAGCATTCGCCAAAAGGATGGGGACCTTCCTATAGGTGGAGAATTTGATCTCTTTCCTCATGACTGGATTCACTTCTACGATCTCATGTGGCAGCTGGTGATATTCAAGGAAGGCGCGCACCTTACTGCAGAAGGGACAGGTTTTGTACTGGTACAGTGTAAGCTGGAGACCCCCCTCTGGGACCTGAAAAGGATCAAATAAAAATGTTTAACCCAAAAAAGCTCCATTAAGAAGAGAAAAAAAACCCCAAAAACCAATCCCACTTATTACAGGAAAACGGTTTTCAAACGTTCTTATAATACAGCCAAGAACACTGAGACGCATTGCAAATATAAGATGTTATGTTCCTAGCTTTTCTTTCCATGTGCTTTAAAGGAGAACTATGGGGTCAGGGCTTTTCCCCATAGTTCTCCTTAGGGTAACGGGAGAAACAAACTAGCGTCCTCCCGTCACCCTAGGTTCAGTATACCGCAAGCTGTAGCTCGCCTTATACTGGGACGCCGCAGCTGAAGCGGATCCAGACAATTATGTCTGGATCCGCCCAGCTGCGTGACTGACAGCTGGCTCTGCCTATCTAGAGGCAGAGCCAGCTGTACCCGCCCCCTCCCCTGTCTGTTCCGCCAGGCAGCGCTGGATCAGAGCGGGGAGGGGGGAATCCAGCCCCTCCCCTGTCATGGCAGAGAGCCGTGACAGGATCGAGAGGTGAGCGATCTACTGAGCCGACCTGTGACAGTCTCATTGTCACAGGTCGGCTAGAACTATGAGGATGAGTGAAAAGCACTCACCTCATAGTTCTCCTTTAAGAAATGTCAGACAGGTCCAGTACAATGTAAACATTACTCTGTTTACATTTAGCCTGTCTGCACTTTGTAGTGTAATGAGCAATGTCTCCGGGCTTGAGAACAAGAGAAGCATCAGAGATCCCTTTAGATATTCATTGTTTCCGCAGTTGGCTCTCAGACATACCATAAGAAGGTTTAGGTAAACAAAGACGGATCGTCCTCCTCTGACCCACAGTGACGACATAAGTGCAATATATACTGCGCTTCCTTAGCCACAGGAACCTACCGCGCAGTCACTTCAAATTCATATATAAATATATTGCGAGGATTAGCTTCAAATGGTAGTGCATTCAGGACGCTTCCACTCTTAAACAATTTCTTTTTAGGGCTCTGTGCCCACTTTTATTCATCCACATACGTGTTTCCCCCCGCAGAGGTTTCTCCAACACAAAGTATCGTTTTCTTGGCAAAATAACACTTCCAATGTCTCTCCGTCTTCAGGTTGTGTTTTTAACAAAACCTTTCCCACACACACTGGCCACACAGGCTGCTGGTCTCCCCCCAGTCTGCCACACACTGGTTCTAGGGTGGGGGCTCCTTTCTTAGGTGGCTGGGAGTTCTTGTAGAGGCCCTAACAAGCCAGCTAGCTTCACCTCGGCTTGTTACCTCCGAGCCTCCAGCCCTCTCACCACTTCCCCCTAGAGGAAGGACTTCAGTATTAGATCCGAATCTAGGGCATACAACTCGGCCATCTTGGCTAGACTCAGACATTTTCCTCTGCCTGCTGCCACAATGTAGATTCAAAATCTATGGGGCCAACATTTCAAACCCATATAGGTGGCTTCCCTGGGCAGGGCATCCAGTCCCTGTGGGCAATGAAGACCAGGACTTTGGCAGTACGTGTCCAGCCTTATCACATCAAATGCAGCTATTAAGTCAGGGCTAGAGTGTCTGATAGAATGGAGCTAGACCTGGCCACCCGGTACCCTTGGGTTACACATTCGTCCCCATCGGGTTTTTGATCTTTGTACCCCCCTCTCTCTTTTTACCCCTCGCAACCTCCTTTGACCTACAAGGCCATTTATACAACTCCAGTATGTCTCAGTACCCTATAATGCATCGGGCCGCCAACCTTCCGGACCTCATGGACCACTAAATTCATGATTTTAAATCCCGCGGACCACCAATAGGAATTTAAAAAAAAAATAAATACATTTGTAAAACAACGATCAGAGAACTTTTATTTTATTAATATGAAATGCGCTCATTTAATAACAAAATCGTAAATGCTTTACGGCTCTGATAAGGAACACGCCGCTTCTCAGGTCGCTGGCAGCCTGTGCTGAGAGCCGCGCATTCCTTGCAACAGCCGCGTCAGTGAGAGACAGCCCCGGAGGCCTCCGTGCAGCTTCAATGACGGCACAGCCTGTACGGCATCAGAGGGGCCCGGGGGAAATTGCTTCCCTGGCCCCCGGCCCAGTACGCTCCTGGTCGAAACAATACTGAAGCGTACGGCAACGGTTGCCTCAAACAACTTCAAGGAGAACTATGGGGTTAGGGCTTTTCCCCATAGTTCTATAGTGGCTATATAGAAGGCGCTCTGCAACGGCGGGCTATAAAGACGGAGCTAAGTATTGGTTAGCCTATATAGGAGGAGCTTAATAATGGCGACCTATATACACAGAGCTCTGCAATGGCAGTCTATAGAGAAGAACTTGGCAAAATCGGCCAACATGGAAAGACCCCAGCAATGGCGGCCTATGTTTTTCCTTTAGCACAGGGTACGTTTTAGTGTTACTACACCACCACTCACAGTAGAGATTGTCAGTAAAGTGACCTGCAGTGATCCCTCCCATACGGAAAGGTGCAGTGCACGCCGCCCAGCCGCCAGCGGTGGAGTGCACGCCGCCCAGCCGCCAGCGGTGGAGTGCACGCCGCCCAGCCGCCAGCGGTGGAGTGCACGCCGCCCAGCCGCCAGCGGTGGAGTGCACGCCGCCCAGCCGCCAGCGATCACTGAGCGAGGCCTCAGTACAGATATACAGTGTATATACTCCTGCTATAAATAAAGGGAAGGTCCATACCTGGGTCGCTTCCTCTGCCTTCTGCTCCCCCAGGGCATAGTTTAAGGTCTGCAGCACCCCCAAGGAGCCACCTACAGCAAACATCACAGCCCACATCCTCTTGCCCCCTCTGCCATCCTCCTGCCCCCTCCAGCCTGTCCTGTACCCTCTCCAGCTGACACAAAGAGGGGTCAGCCCTGTGTGTGGAGCTGTCAAGGGCAGGTTGCTCCTCGAGCTCTGCAGGCAGACATAACTCCTCCAGCTCTGCCCAGACCCTCTGGCTGCCAGCACACCACCTAAGCCCGCCGTGCCCGGCCTCCAATGCCCAGCAAGGCGCCATGTCAGAGCGCCCAGCTCGTGCGCTCTGCGAGCAGCCATCTTCCCTGAACCCTGGCCCCGCCCACAACCTCCCTCTCACATCCTGACAGGCGGCGATCACGTGACATCCCTTATATAAATAAGGACAGTCACATGACCACCAGTCAGTCACATGACACACAGGCAGAATGTCAGGACCTAATGGTGACCCTCAGGTGCCTATGGGCGAGGTGTCCGAGGAGGAAGGTGAGCTCTTCTCTTCATTATTCTTCTCATGTCTGTTCTCTGTTTTGTATATTTACTGCGATAGTGAATTCCATACTCTCTTCTTAAAAATGGAGGCTGCCATAGCTGACCTCTCCTTCCCAAAGTGCTCGTTCTCTGACTGTCATGCTGATCCTGCGGATTTAGTGCTGTAGACAAGTATGCAGATCAGGAGTTCAATGACTGAGAGAGTACGAAAAGCCAGAAACAGCCAAGCAAATTGCATTTCCCGGATCTCTCTCAGTGTTAGTCTCCTTTAAAGGGGACCTGTCATTGTCAATGTTTTAGTGTGTAGATCATGTGGGCGGAGAAATCGCTGACGTTCTGTGGGCTGGACAGGAGGTGATATGGGATGCTTTCTAGGAATCTAATGATTGGCTGGAATCTGCCACCAATGGTTAAGGTCATATGTAAACCATTGGTGGCAGATTGCCGTGGACCATCCATTATGTAAACCACGGGTGTCGGATTGCCATGGACCATCCATTATGTAAACCACGGGTGTCGGATTGCCATGGACCATCCATTATGTAAACCACGGGTGTCGGATTGCCATGACATGAGCCATCCATTATGTAAACCACGGGTGTGGGATTTCCATGACATGAGCCATCCATTATGTAAACCAAGGTTGGCAGATTGCCGTGGACCATCCATTATGTAAATCACGGGTGGAAGATTGCCATGACATGGACCATCCATTATGTAAACCACGGTTGGCAGATTGCCATGGACCATCTAATTACAAGTCCCAATGCACAATATACCATCCAATACTAGATATGGTGGGGGTACACTTTATCTACTGGCTGTTTGGTCAAACAGTAGGTAAGGGGTTACCAACTTTTTATTCCAATAGTAGATATCAGGGGGTACACTATATCTGGCTATTTGGTCCAAGTGTAGATATGGTGGGGGACACTAGCTCTAGAGGTTATTCAGTCCAATTGTAGATATTGTGGCATAGCACGGCAAAATTGGCACCCAGGACTCTCAGCCAAAGGGGCTGAGAGGGTCCAGAATGTAAACAATGTTATAAGGAAGAGCCTGGCTTTTCAGGTCCTTCCAAGTTTTCCTAATTGTTGCTGGGATCTGGAGATCTCTTAAGGTGCCCATACACTGCACGATTCTCGTACGAGAATCGCAGGAAATCCCGCGATCGTACGAGAATCGAGCAGTGTGAATGAAGACGTGCGGCCGTTTCTACTGTACGGTCGTACGTCTTTTGTCTAAGGAGCATGCTAGAAAACCAGCCGAAAATCTTATGATTTCCGGCTGGTTTGTGGCATGCTCGGGAGACAAATGCCGAACGGGCCGGTGTGCGCACGCGCACTCTGCCCGTTCAGCATTGCGGTCATCGGAAGCCCGTCCCTCGGGGGGGGGGCGGGCTTGCGATGATCGCAGGTTCGTTCTGCCTGTCCAAGATGTGCAGATCGTACGTTTTTTTAAATTACTCTAATGGCAGGCGCGGGAGACAAATGCCGAACGGGCCGGTGTGCGCCCGCGCACTCTGCCCGTTCAGCATTGCGGTCATCGGAAGCCCGTCCCTCGGGGGGGGGGCGGGCTTGCGATGATCGCAGGTTCGTTCTGCCTGTCCAAGATGTGCAGATCGTACGTTTTTTTAAATTACTCTACAACCAGCGCAAGACCTCCCCTGTTGCACCAGATAGCTTCCCACGTGAGCCCTCACTCTGCTCTCTCAGCAGTGTGTCCCAGCGGTCCTAGGGTCACCGACCTTCCTGACCTCTCCCAGCCTTCCCTGGCTGGGAGTGTGTACAGCAGCGCTCTTCTATTCACAGCCGCTGCTGTCTTCCTGCCTCCCATACAATGTGAGCTCTGCAGGAGGCGGGTGTATAAGCAGTGCTGGGGCTGAGAAGGCTGCATGGAGACAGAGCAGGTAGCAGGGGCTGGGGAGCAGTGGCGTCACAAGGGGGGTGCGGCCCGCACCACTGGTGACACCATTGGAGTGGTGACATCAAAATGACTGACAAAAGTCGGGCGCTCGGTCATGGACTGAACGCCCGACAGTATCAGCAGAGAGAGGAGGGGACCCAGCGGCATACCTCATCCCGCCGAGTGACTGTCCCCTCCTCTCTCTACCGGCGTCCATCTCCAAGATAGCCGCCGGCAGGTATCAGAAGAGTGCCGCCGTCACAAGAGTGCTGCGTTGGTGACATCACGCGCAGTGGCGAGTCGGTGGGGTGACACTCGGTAACCGCTCCGGGTGTCACCCAGCCCCGGGACGCCCCTGCTGGGGAGGGCTTGTATTCTTGTGAGTGTGCTTCTATTTTTAGTCCCAAGTCCAGCGCCTTACTAATTCTGGAGTCCGGCGCTCCGTTGGGGGTCACCACAACTTGGCAAATGTTACCAAGGGGTCTCGGCCCTAGAAAGGTTGGGAACCACTGCTCTAGTGAATGTTGATTGAGACCCCGTTCACACTGAGCGGTTTGTCGCGTGATTTCCACTCAAATCGCGCACATTTCCACGCAATGTCGCTCAATGTAGCTCGTCCAATGCATTTCAATGGAGCTGTTCACATCTCACAGCTCAATGTCGCTTGTAGCTCGAACATGACCTATATTTCGGCGGATGACGCGCGATGTGGGCCCAATAGACTCAATGGTGTCGTGCATTACTGGCGATATTGCGCTACAGAAGCGTCACTTTTGCACAGCAATATGGAAGGAAAGAATGATGTCACATCAAGACCGCAGTTGATTGGTTACAGCCCAATGTAGCAGCGATGAAGTCCCTCCCAAAAGTCACGCTACGTAGCGCGACAAAATGAGCACTGTCGCTCAATATCGCGCAATGTAGCTCAATGCCGCTCAGCACGAAAATCGCCCGGGAAAAACGCGCGATTCTCCATGTCGCTCAGTGTGAATGGGGTCTTAGGGCCTTATTTACAATGGTGAGTGGATGCCACCTGACACAAGCTTTCACAATGCATACACCACACGGCGCCCGCATTGTACACTGCATTTGTGAATTGCCGAGCACAGCATGGGGCCTGCGTTGTCCTCCTGTGTTCTCGGTATGCCGGTTGTAGGTCGCTCAGTCTGTTTTAGAATGACTCTGGACAATAATCGGCTTGTGTGCACAACTTTCTAATAGGCTCCGGTACATTGTAATCCTCTCTTTAACTCCGCGCTGGTTGTAAAGTGTATGGCCACCTTTAGAGCTCTGGGTGGGATGAGATCTCCAGTCCTGGGGCCAGGTGTTACCAATGACCAGCTTGGGCTGATCAAGTGGCTGAGAGCAGCCTTATTGGAGCCAGCCCAGTGATCAGTGTGGAGAGGGAGTTGTGTGGGTGTGCAGGAGGCACACGGCCACAAGCAGACTCAGGTGCGTGCGGGACACGTGGAGCAGCCAGGGAAGGATGGGAGAGGTCGGGAAGGTCGGTGACCCTAGGACCGCTGGGACACACTGCTGAGAGAGCAGAGTGAGGGCTCACGTGGGAAGCTATCTGGTGCAACAGGGGAGGTCTACCCTGTGGATGGAACAAGATGTATGGCGTTTGCCTTTAATAACACTGCATTTTACTTGCACCTGCGGTCTACAGTCGAGTGTCCTTGTTACAATATGTTGGGGTACGCTATAGCTATTGGTTGTATGTCTCCAGGTGCCCCCCTATTTTTATCCCAAGGAAGCCCACCCTGGAGTTGTCCTGTGCGTCCATCATTCTGCAGTACATTGGTTCCAGGGTAGTAATGAAGAACCTCACATATAGATATCGTGCCCTGTGATCTCTGCATTCCTCATACCGCGGGCTCTACAAGTTATTGTTTATCTATAAACTTTGCTGGGTGTAGTGTGCAGGCCGTCTCCAGGCTCACCAGGTATCGGCTGGCTGCAGGCTCCTGTGGATGGCTGTTGGAAGGTTATCCTGTCATTTGGAAGGTTCATGCCTGAGCAGATGAAGCCACATTCATTTTTTTTTTCTTTTACCATTTGTCTCTATAGTGCAGCGGTTCTCAACCTGTGGGTCACAGCATCCACTTCTGCTGCGCTAGGTGAGAGGCGCCTCAGCCTCCTCCTAGCGTGTCAGTCAGCGGGAGGACAGAAGAGGCTGTGAATATAAAAGTGCCGCTGTACACTCCCTGGCCGCTGCAGCGACATCTAGTGGCCGGGGAGTGTGTACAGCAGGGCTCTTCTATTCACAGCCGCTGCTGTCTTCCTGCCTCCCATACAATGTGAGCTCTGCAGGAGGCGGGTGTCTAAGCAGTGCTGGGGCTGAGAAGGCTGCATGGAGACAGAGCAGGTAGCAGGGGCTGGGGAGCAGTGGCGTCACAAGGGGGGTGCGGCCCGCACCACTGGTGACACCATTGGAGGGGTGACACCAAAATGACTGACAAAAGTCGGGCGCTCGGCACAGTATCAGCAGAGAGAGGAGGGGACGCGGCATACCTCATCCCGCAGAGTGACTGTCCCCTCCTCTCTCTGCCGGCGTCCATCACCAAGATGGCCGCCGGCAGGTATCAGAAGAGTGCCGCCGTCACATGAGTGCTGCGGTGGTGACATCACGCGCAGTGGCGAGTCGGCGGGGTGACACTAGGTAACCGCTCCGGGTGTCACCCAGCCCCGGGACGCCCCTGCTGGGGAGGGCTTGTATTCTTGTGAGTGTGCTTCTATTTTTAGTCCCAAGTCCAGCGCCTTACTAATTCTGGAGTCCGGCGCTCCGTTGGGGGTCACCACAACTTGGCAAATGTTACCAAGGGGTCCCGGCCCTAGAAAGGTTGGGAACCACTGCTCTAGTGAATGTCGATTGAGACCCCGTTCACACTGAGCGGTTTGTCGCGTGATTTCCACTCAAATCGCGCACATTTCCACGCAATGTCGCTCAATGTAGCTCGTCCAATGCATTTCAATGGAGCTGTTCACATCTCACAGCTCAATGTCGCTTGTAGCTCGAACATGACCTATATTTCGGCGGATGACGCGCGATGTGGGCCCAATAGACTCAATGGTGTCGTGCATTACTGGCGATATTGCGCTACAGAAGCGTCACTTTTGCACAGCAATATGGAAGGAAAGAATGATGTCACATCAAGACCGCTGTTGATTGGTTACAGCCCAATGTAGCAGCGACGAAGTCCCTCCCAAAAGTCACGCTACGTAGCGCGACAAAATGAGCACTGTCGCTCAATATCGCGCAATGTAGCTCAATGCTGCTCAGCACGAAAATCACCCGGGAAAAACGTGCGATTCTCCATGTCGCTCAGTGTGAATGGGGTCTTAGGGCCTTATTTACAATGGTGAGTGGATGCCACCTGACACAAGCTTTCACAATGCATACACCACACGGCGCCCGCATTGTACACTGCATTTGTGAATTGCCGAGCACAGCATGGGGCCTGCGTTGTCCTCCTGTGTTCTCGGTATGCCGGTTGTAGGTCGCTCAGTCTGTTTTAGAATGACTCTGGACAATAATCGGCTTGTGTGCACAACTTTCTAATAGGCTCCGGTACATTGTAATCCTCTCTTTAACTCCGCAGATTACGCAGCGTTGGATTTTGTGTTGGACCAAATTAACTTTTGCCTGGATCACCTAGAAGAGAAGAATGACCTTTTGCACGCACAGCTTCAGGATCTTTTGGAATCCAATCGGCAGGCTCGGCGTGATTTCCAACAGCAGATAAGCCAGAGTGGAAACGGGGATAGCGCACAAAAGGATGCTGGGGTGTAACCACCCTCTCAAACCGGCTCCCTACAAAACACTGAGATGCTCCTACTTCCTCTTAAAGACTGTGTCTGCTCATTCCCGGAGCCTCCAAAATGGTTGGATGAAGATGAAAGAAAATTGTATGAAAGCTACTATTAAAATAATATCCCCTTGCAGTCAATTATTGGTGAAAGTTATAGGGGAATACCCGTCAAAAAAACAGAGACCTCTTTTTTTAAAGTATTTTTGATAATGATATATGATAATGACTGCAGAATTCCAGGCAAACTGCTAAATACATTCGGGTTGTAGTTCTGTCCCATACTGTCCTGAGATTTATGGCCATGCCAGACCACATAGGCAGGTGACCTGACTCTATCTGCTGAGGTAGGAGAGCCTGGTCTCCCCCGTGCCCCAACCTGATGGGACACAAGGAGTATCACCAGCATCCCTCTTCTCCTGCCTCACGTTTCTGTAAGCTTATGTGCACTGCAGTACACCTGATTGGCCCCCAGTGTTGCTCCTCCCTCTCTTTGAGAGTTCTGGTGTACAGGGGGTTAAATGACGCATCAGAGACTTAGACTAGTTGCATCCAAAAACACATTGCCATTTTATTAAAGGAGAATTATGAGGTGAGTGATTTTCACTCCTCATAATCCGAGCCGACCTGTGAATCCATACCTTTTGTCAATAAATGTTTTTAATACCTCTGCTTGGAGTTCAGTGTTAAACCTTTTGCAGTCTTTGATCCATCTCATGTCTGAACTCTGTGTTCCCTAAATACTATCCTAACCCACCTTCAGTGCCTGAAACATGTCACCTTCAGTTGTGAAAAGACTGGACGTAGGTAGTATTTTGTTTAAATAGCGGTGTGAGAAGCCTTGGATAAACGCTGACACTCTAAATCCTTACCTGCCCGCTAGTTCTAGGGTGCCGTGTCACTCACTTGGCTGCCCCTGGAACTAGAACAAGGTCCACAAGTTGGATACTTCCTTCTGAATCTTCTCATGCAGGAACTTAGATTTGTGACTGCTCACTGCCATTTTCATGCACTACCAAGGTCAGCCTGATTTACAATTTCAGCAGGTGTACAGGATGGGGCAAATAGTATTAGGGATTAGTGTCGTCATATTATTCATATGATCTTCAGCACATGGCACTGTTGGCCTAAGGCAGGGATGGGAGACTTTGGCTTTCCAGTGACCACTCCTGGCCTAGGGTATACCTGTTATTAGAGAAACACAGGTATACCTTAGACCAGGGGTGAACAACTCTGGCTTTCCAGCTGTTGTTTAACTACAAATCCCAATCTGCAATGCCTCATGAGACTTGTAGTTTCACAACAGCTGGAGCGCTGAAGTGGCCCACTCCTGGCCTAGGGTATACCTGTCCTTAGAGACGCACAGGTATACCTTAGGCCAGCTGTGGGCAACTTTGCCCCTCCAGCTGTGCTTTAACTAAATATCCCTGTCTCTGGGAGTCACGCTGGTGGCTGTCAGCCTTGCAATGCCTCATGGGACTTGTAGTTCCACAACGGCTGGAGGGCTGGAGTTGCCCACCCCTGCCTCAGGTCATTGTTAATCTTCTGAAAATACATGTTCCCTGGCAGTTATGGCCATAAGCAAACATCACCTGAGCTCAGATTTTATTAGGTGCTGCGCTCACCATGACCGACTGTTTTTCAATGAAGCATATTTAAAGAGGCGCTGTCACCTTGGCCCATGTAGGACAAAGGGACAGTGTCAATGCAAAGGGCCCCCCACAACCCTTATACTTGCCTTTATGTGTGCTCCTCAGTCACCAGTGCTGGAGATCGGGGAAGGGGTGACATCATTCCCTTAGCCTTGTGATTGGCTGCACCAGGTATTGTGGGAAGTAGCGGTGGCAAGGGGAGTATAGGTGGGTTGGCTGGGACCCTTTTTTGAGACACTGTCACTGCTTCACATTAGCAAGATGATGGCGGTGGGGGTTAGTCTCTGTTCTTCTTGCATTGCTAGCTAGGATATTATTTATTGTGAGTCACTACCCCTGGATACAAGTCTGATTTTACAATGTGAGTAGTTGATTAATTTAATTTTGGAAGAGTTTTTTTTTCTGCGATATATCTGAACTTTTATTGTGTTAAACCTTTTGTGTGTCGTAAAGTATACCCTGGCGTAGAATTAACATAAGTTGCTATTAGGAATTGTAATAGTGTACCTAGAAGTTCATTGTAGGTACTTTTAGTAAACCCAAAAGACTCCTGATGCTGAGGTGGGGTATTTATGCAGACGGTCCCTGGATTTGATCCCCAGCCCACCACCTCACATATATGACGCTGCTCATCACAGCAACAGACCAATGAAGATCCATCAAGCTTTGCCTCTACAGTCCTGGTAGCAGTTTATTTCGATGATTCTGCTATAGGATCCTTTAACTGTGGTCAGTGTCTTTGACTTTCTCCTGGTCTGTCGGGTACATGTGACATCAATGTCAGTTCTCTGCAGATTTTGTACTTTCAGAATTAAAAATGATTGGGTCTGCACAAAAACGTTTGCGTATTTTCTTAACGGCGGGGCTGCTTGGATGTCTACGGCTCCATTCATATGGTTAAATGTATTCAAAGTGTTCCTCGTCACGTCACATCTTTCTGCCTTGAGGAAGGGACCCTGCGCGGCCCCGAAACGTCGGTTTATTTGGATGTCTGTGACGCTTTCTGTCCAATAAAAAGGGACATATTTATCTTTACTACTGAGTGCTGGTGGTTTCCTGACTTTCCTGTGTTTGCACGGCGCCATCCGTGGTAATTCATCACTGCGAGCACCACTTTTTTCTTATCTGGCCGGGACTGCTGTGGGGAGCGCGGAGGGGCTCTCCATCCACTTACTTTAAAGTGTTCCTGTCTGCAGTTTCATCAGAATGACGCTACATGAAAAATATACAATACGCGTTTTTTTCGTTTCAAAGTTTTTATTAAGTTTTTACATTAGGTGGGATACATAATACAGCAATCAATACAGAAGTGCAAGTAACCAATACGTGTTTTTTTAATACAGGAGGCGGTACCTTCTCCTTTAATAAAAATAAATGTACAAAAACACTTGAAATGTGTAACCCCATCTAAATATAACTTGTTCTGATTCTCAACCTGGAAGGACTGCAGATACAGTATGTGCTCAAAAAGGGTATATAAAGGCAAAATAGTTTTTTCTACTTTTGGAAATTGTTAAAGGGTTCGAACCTTGGCCTGGTCTTTATTCCTCTCTGTAGCCCCCGCTGGGGAGATTCAACCTGTACTCTTTACCTTGTGGGGCCCTCGGCGGGTGAATAGCCCGCCGAACGTCCTGACAGTTCGCGTGTTCGCCAAACACACGAACTGCTGATGTTCCATTCGAACTCGAACATCGAGCCAATCCCCAGATGCAAACGGTAGGCTGGCTCTTGGAAGGAGCTATGCACATATAAAGGGATAGTTAGATGTCAGTCTAAGGAGTGGATGTTCCTATGCGGGCTGCATTTGCTCGCAGACCATTCTAGATAACGCCCACATGTGATGCTGAGCCTCCATGATTGAAAGAACTGAAATCCAATGAATGAAAGGGGCAGGCCTAGGACAGTTAGGCTGAGCAGGAAAGCGTTCGATGATGCTGGACATCCTCCAGCCAGCAATTGAGGATGGCTCCATTTGACTTACTGCAGCTTTTAATGCAAAATGTAAGAAGCTTGAAATGTGCAGGGAAATCAGAGTAAAATCCCTTCTTGCATTCCTGCATCTCAGCTTCTTCCCTGCCAGAAGCTGGATTTGTGAGTCTTCCTATTGTTAAGCTCAGTTCTCATGCCTCCTGTTCGGTGAGTATGCCGGTCTTCTTCAAAAATAAGCTTACACCCCCATCTGCTGTGAAAGTGCCTGCGGATGATTTACAGGCAGTCGCTATGACAAGCCCCCACCTCTGTTTACGTGGTGATGGCGCTGGTCTCAGCCAAGCGATTGGTGCCAAACACAAGCGTGGTCGATCAGCGCTAACTAATTATTCGTCTCCTTCCCAGACACCAATGGGGGACAGAGGGAGACCTTTCAATCACACTAGCTCTGATCTTTTTCTTCATCCTGCCGTCCAGGGGACAAAGTACATGTAACCAGTGGCGTCACAAGGGGGTGTGTGTGGCCCGCAGCTGGGTGACGTCGATTGGAGGGGTGACACCAAAATGTCATTTTGGTGTCACACCCTTTGAAAAGTCAGGCACCCAGTCATAGTCTGAGAGCCCGACAGTTTCAGGAGAGAGGAGGGGACCCGGCGGCATACCTTATCCCGCCAAGTGAACTTATCCCTCCTCTCTCTGCCGGCGTCCATCACCAAGATGGCCGCCGGCAGGTATCAATAAGATGTCACAGGGGGGTGTCAGCTGGTATTCGCTCTGGGTGACACCCGGCCTCGGGACGCCCCTGCATGTAGCACTTCGTCCCCTGGGGGACAGGCTGAAGAAAAGATGATTGGTGAGAGTTCTATAATTAAGGCTTTCAATTATTCGGACAAATCTCTAATCTTAAAATAATTTACTCAAAATCACACACATTGAACTTCACCTTGCAAGCCGTTCCATTGATAATATGCAAAGTAAATGTTCCCATTGCCAGAAACAAAAACCCTTGATACCACATTTAGGGCATTCAATCTCTAAGCCTTGCTCCAAACAACCTCCAAAAAGGGGATAAGCCACAGTTCTTGTAAAAAAGATTCATATCTTATCCAGCGTCTTCCAAACAATCATACCCAAAGCTTTTTCACCTCACTCCGAACATACCTGACCACCTTCAATAAACAAGAAACCTTCAATAGTTAGCCGAACTGGCTTAAAGGCCCCAAAGGCCAAAGGGGCACTGTGCTCCCAGATTGATAAAAACTGCTATGAATTCCTCTACCTAACCAGGTCCTCGGACTCTTTTAGAAGGAAACGCAGAGTTTCCATCAGGGATGTCTACCAGTTGCGTTATGGATTGACCGCCTACCACTAGACTATGTATCTCCTTATTTCGAGATGGAGCGTTTCTGGAAAGACAGGCCCTCAGTGCAACCCATGCATTGACTCATCCCCCATACATTAAGGTTAGATACTACCACCATACATTAAACCAGTCCATACCTAAGTAGATCTACCTCTACTTCAACATCCCACAAAGACCCCTCCTCTCTATCCTGTACCAATCCTTAGCTGACAAGCCTTTCATCAAATCTGACCCAGCTCTTAATGCCTTAGACTAGACTAGACTAGACTTAGGGATTCAAGCTACAAAATGGTCATGAGGCCTAAGTACTACAATGCTCAACAGGAGGAATCCCACTGTTTTTAATGGCCCCTTGTCACGATCTGGATCAGGCTCGGAGTCCAGTAGCTGAAACGCAAAGTCGTAGTCAAACAGGCCGAGTTCGGTACACAAGCAGACGGTAGTAGTATAAGGAGCAGGTAGAAGCGTCGTCAGAGATCAAGCCGAGGTCAGTAGCCAAAAGGTATCAAGTATGAAGTAGAAGACGATGAGTAGTCGGTGAATCAGCAGCCAAAGGTCGGTACACGGGTAGCAGTATGAGCGGATTGTATCACAGGAGGAGCAAGGAAGCAAGATATTGGCAGGAGCACAATAATCTGGCAAACAGGAAGTGTAGAGGTGGTTCAGGGGAGGAGCAAGGAGTTCAGCAGAAACTAGGTTTAACTGAGGATTACACAGGAGATCAGGCAAGCAGCTATCCAAGGTTCTAAGGTGGCTCAGCAGGTAGAACCACTGCCAGCTACAGCAGAGGCCCTGGGTTCAGATCTGGTTCCTGACACCCCTTTTCATACCTGAGCGTATGGGTTCAGATCTGGTTCCTTGTAGCAAAACGCCTGTAGCTTGAGTTTCTTTGTGGCGCAGCGTCTTGGTAATTTGGCCCCTACAGACTTCAAAGAGAGCTTCTGAAAAAGGTGCATAACGGGTGTTTTCAAGAGTTTTTTTTTTTGCCTTGGCTAAACGTAAAGGGCTCAAACCACCTGTACAAGCGCTGAAAAAAATGGAGCGGTAGGCCTCATTCACACGAGAATCGGCCGACAGGTACAGCTCAGTGCTGCGTGCACGGCCGTATCGGGCAGCTCCCGGGAAGGACAGGTGCTGCGTGTGATTAGTACACAGCCCCTGTCTTTCCCTATGGGACAACGTGGCCGTACGCCGCCCTACGCTCACCCCAGGTGCAGGTCCGTACGCGTGTCCATCCTGTCAGCGTACGTGCAGGGTGGTTGAGCGTATTGCGTAATGGCAGCGCAGTCCCATAGAGAAAGACAGGGGCTGTGTACTAATAACACCGTGTGACGGCTCTAGAGTTTGCGAGGCCTTAGGCGAAACCTAAACATGAGGCCCCACTCAGGCCTGTGGGGTCTCACCGACACACGCAGCACCTGTCCTTCGCGGGTGCTGCCCAATACGGCCGTGCACGCAGCTGTACCTGCCGGCCGATTCTTGTGTGAATGTGGCCTAACAATGGTCACAGCCATTCCTCTCCTTCCACCCATTGAACTCACTCCTCCTATTTCCACCCCAGCCCTCATTCCCTTGAATCCACCCCTCCTTTTTTATTTCTACAAGGCAAGACAATAGGGGTTGGGGTAGGAAAAGGAGGATTGGGTTGAATGGGTGGAAGGAGAAGAATGGTTGTGACCACTGTTGTTCCCTGTGTTTTTTTTCAGTACTTGTACAGTCTGTTTAGCAAGCATTTTAGACAGGGAGGAGATAGGGCAGCAGCTTGGACCTCCCAGTCCAGTATACTTACTATGACAAATTAATTCCCCTACTCCACAACTGCTACCCTCCCCCTGTATCTTATTATCATTCCACAACCACCATTCCCGACCAGATTCATTCACCATGTAGACCAGCCCTTCTCAAACTTTTTACGCTTCAAAAAAATGTTGAGTCTGTACAGCCCCAGAACAAGGACTGAGGGTCTACCACCCCCAGAACAAGGAATGAGGGTCTGTACACCCCCCTAGAACAAGGACTGAGGGTCTACCAATGATATCACAGTGTAGACTGTACGGGTGATGTGCGGAGGGGGGCGGGATTGGAGTTTCCTGATCCGGGGCGAGGATTCCTCCCAGCGCCATCAACACAGCCGATGCCAGGGGTACCCGGATCCGGCCAGCCCGGGCACCGGGGGAGGTGAGTGAACCGGGGACATACCCTGATGGTTGAACCGGGGACCGGGAGGTTAATGCCAGCTACACATCATACCAGAGGCGTCCGAAGCCGGGCACTGGGACGACAATGCCACCGACCAGGAATAACCTTTATCAGGAGCCGGGCACCAATGCAGAGGAGCCATGATTAGAGACCCGGGCACAGGGACTTGACATGTTATAGGGGGGCCCTGATTTATTAGCTGGGCACAGAGGCAGCGATGTCTGCCATAGATCATGCCAGGGGTGCCCCGATCAGGGAGCTGGGCACAGAGATAGTATTAATGGCTGCTATAAATCATGCCAGGGAGCTGGGCACAGAGACAGTAATGTTTGCTATAGATCATGCCAGTGGTGTACTGATCAGGGAGCTGGGCACAGAAATAGTAATAATTGCTGCTATAGACCATGCCAGGGATCTGGGTACAGAGACAGTAATGCCTGCTATAGATCATGCCAGGGATCTGGGTACAGAGACAGCAATGCCTGCTATAGACCATGCCAGGGATCTGGGTACAGAGACAGTAATGCCTGCTATAGACCATGCCAGGGATCTGGGTACAGAGACAGTGATGTTTGCTATAGATCATGCCAGTGGCACCCTGATCAGGGAGCTGGGCACAGAGACAGTAATAATTGCTGCTGTAGATCATGCCAGTGGTGTCCTTATCAGGGAACTGGGCACAGAGACAGTAATGGCTGCTGTAGATCATGACAGAGATCTATAGCAGAGCACTTGTGATAGTGTTTTCAACCTCCCCTTGCCCAGTTTGTTGTAATCTATGAAAACTCCTATTAGTGACCCTCTTACTGGATGATGGATTATTCTCTGATGGCCACCTGCCATGACCCTTTACCTAAACAATGGATTACTCTCCGATGGCCTCCTTCCCTGACCCTTGGCCTGGGTAACGGATTACTTTCTGATTGCCTCCTTCCCTGACCCTTGGCCTGGGTAACGGATTACTTTCTGATTGCCTCCTTCCCTGACCCTTGGCCTGGGTAACGGATTACTTTCCGATTGTCTCCTGCCCTGACCCTTGGCCTGGGTAACGGATTACTCTCCGATTGTCTCCTGCCCTGACCCTTGGCCTGGGTAACGGATTACTTTCCGATTGCCTCCTGCCCTGACCCTTGGCCTGGGTAACGGATTACTTTCCGATTGTCTCCTGCCCTGACCCTTGGCCTGGGTAACGGATTACTCTTCGATGGCCTCCTTCCCTGACCCTTGGCCTGGGTAACGGATTACTTTCTGATTGCCTCCTTCCCTGACCCTTAGCCTGGGTAACGGATTACTTTCCGATTGTCTCCTGCCCTGACCCTTGCCCTGGGTAACGGATTACTCTCCGATGGCCTCCTTCCCTGACCCTTGGCCTGGGTAACGGATTACTTTCTGATTGCCTCCTGCCCTGACCCTTGGCCTGGATAAGGGATTACTCTCCGATTGCCTCCTGCCCTGACCCTTTAGCTAGATAACAGATTACTCTCCGATTGCCTCCTGCCCTGACCCTTTAGCTAGATAACAGATTACTCTCCAATTCCCTCCTGTCCTGACCTTTGGCCTGGATAGCGGATTACTCTCCAATTCCCTCCTGTCCTGACCATTGGTCTGGATAACGGATTACTCTCCAATTCCCTCCTTCTCTGACCCTTGGCCTGGATAATGGATTACTCTACAATGTACACTTAGCATATGGATACTTGGCATGGGATTTTAGGTACCAGGCACGGTGTGCACACCCATATCCCTGCCATTTACCTTTATTTCAAACCTTTGATAATGATAAATATGCAATGTGATCTGTCTTATCTGCCAAAGGATTCCTAATTTTCTTCAGCCGCCTTTGTGGTTCATATACCTCGCCAGGACAAATAGAGAAGGTGAAACTATCTAGGGGGTTCATAAGCAGCAAAACAGCATGCTCCCTACTCTATCCAAAACTAACAAAAAGGTCTATACACACACATCATACAGTCTCCTTATACTAGCGGTAATTGGCAGCAGTGCCAATTACCGCTAGATATACAGCTATGGGGAGTGCCTAGACCAGGGGTGGGCATGTCCAGCACTCCAGCTGTGCTTTATCTACAAATCTCATCATGCCTCTGGGAGTCATGCCTGTAACTGTCCGTCTAATGCCTTGTGGTACTTGTAGTTCCGCAGCAGCTGGAGGGACGGAATTGCCCAACCCTGGTGCGGGCACAGGAAGTGCACTGATATTTTCCACTGTCATTTTTGTCTTTCTTTGCTTTGCTTTTTAATCATTTACTAACATGGAAATCACTCAATTAGAAATGCATGTAGAGCAGCGCAGTCATGTTCACGTGTATTTGTTTCTATTTTTTCAGGCCCTGGGAATCTCTGTAACTGATGAAACATGAAGATCTTAGTAAGTCTATCAATGTATCAAATGTTTATTTAATGATCATGTACAACAAGCAGTGAGCCATGGAGAACAATATGACCCCCCTCCTATTAGTTTGTTCATTGCACTGCTGCATACCTGATTGGCTCTTTGTGCAGTTTCTTCCCTTTTAGTCCCTTTTAGTCGGAGCTCTGCTGCACTGTAGACTGCAAGAGGCTTATATCATTTTAAATTCAGGTGCTTGCTCTGCTTGGATTTCTAAGGCTGGGTTCACACCTAGGCCTATCGAATATGCGCGTTTGTCGCGCGTTTCCGAGGGCTACCTGGCTGTATCCCAATGGTCACGCTCGGCAAATACGCCCCAAAGAAGCTCCTGTACTTCTTTGGCCGTAGGGCGTTTTGCAGCGCGTTCCTACGCGCTGTAAAACTCCCAGGTGGGAACCATGCCCATAGGCAATCATTGGTTTTCACATGTTGAGCGTTTTACAGAGCGTAGGAACGCGCTGTAAAACGCCCAGGTGTGAACCAGGCCTAAAAATGCATTTAATGTTGTATTAAAGGAGAACTATGAGGTGAGTGATTTTCAGTCATCCTCATAGTTGGAGCCGACGTGTGACAATGGGACTGTCACAGGTCGGCTCAATAGATCGGGAAGGGAGCGAACACATACCGTCACTCGCTCACTTCTCGATCCTGTCCCAGCAGAGAGCCGCGACTGTCGCTCCCGGCAGGGATTCCTCCCCTCTCCGATTCTCCAGCGCTGACTGGCGGAACGGACGGGGGAGGGGGTGGGTACAGCTGGCTCTGCCTCTAGATAGGCAGAGCCAGCTGTCACTCACGCAGCTGGGTGGATCTCGACAGTAATGTCGGGATCCGTCCCGGCTGCGGTGGTCTCAGTATATCGCGAACTGTAGCTCGCGATATACTGAGCTTTGAGTCATGGGAGAACCCTAGTATATGTCCTCCCGTGACCCTTAGGAGAACTATGGGGAAAAACACTTACCCCATAGTTCTCCTTTAATGATTGCAGAGCCTTTGATATCTCCCTGGGGATCAGTCTTCAAGTAAAGTTGTCATTAGGGAAATACGAGGGCTTCCATTCCTATTATGTTTCTATTTTGTTCTGAAAATACTCTTTACCTGTCTGTTGTGCCGGTCAGTCAGCAATGGCAGCTAAGGTGGGTATACATTACCCATTTCTGGCTCTGATTACATGGTCAAGTGTGAAGCTCAGGGCTCTGATGACTACCTTGGAGATAGTGAGATAGTGTAGAGTGATAGTGAGCACATTCGAGCTTTGGAAGTGTTCGCCATCATACACCAAGAATGTTCAATCTGTTAGAAAACTCTGCACAATCAATCAAACATTCCCTCATCTCTTCTGCAAATGGGGTCCTGTGCAATGTGAAAATATGTCCCCTCCCATCTCTCTTAGGGAGAAACCTTCCTGTTGGTGGCCCCCAGACCTGATCGATAAAAACAATGTTTAGGCCTCATTCACACGAGAAACGACCGGCACGTACAGCTCTGTGGTGCGTGCAGGGCCGTATCGGACAGTTCCCGGGAAGGAGTGATTAGTACGCAGCCCCCGTTCTTCTCTATGGGACTACGGGGCCGTATACCGCCCTACACTCACCCGCCCTGCACGTCCGTGCGGCTATCCGTACTCGTACGCCGACAGGATGGATCCTGCTGCGTCCGAGCCGGGACATCCGCACCCGTACGGACGTGCAGGGCAGGTGAGCGTGGGGCGGCGTACAGCCGCATAGTCCCATAGAGAAGGACAGGGGCTGCGTACTAATCGCACACAGCACCTGTCCTTCCCGGGAGCTGCCCGATATGGCCGTGCACGCAGCACGGAGCTGTACCCGCCGGCCGTTTCTCGTGTGAATGAGGCCTTAAAGAGGAACTGAACTCTATACGCTGAAAAAAAAAACAGGCAGAGGGCAAAGGACTAGGCACTCCCTGCAACTGATCTTTTCCCTATTACTGACTTACCATGCCTTGTGTTCCTGTGTGGAGGTGGCCATCTTGGTAGAGGCAAGGTTTTGCTTCCTGATACCAAAGTCTCCAGCACAGAGAACAGTGAGCAGCTAAGTATCACGAAATCTCACTCCACATCTCCTAAGACCAGGAGTCACAGGCAGCAGTGCCTTCGATCTCACACTCAGGGGCGTCCCAAGGCTGGGTGACACCCGGAGCGGTAACCGAGTGTCACCCCGCCGAGACGTCACCGCGCATGCGTGTGACGTCATCGCGCACGCGCGGCAGTCTTCTGATACCTGCCGGCGGCATCTTGGTGATGGACGCCGGCAGAGAGAGGAGGGGACAGTCACCCGGCGGGATAATGTATGCCGCCGGGTTCCCTCCTCTCTCCTAATACTCTCGGGCATTCGGTCCATGACCGAGTGCCCGACTTTTCAGAGCGGGGTGACTTACAGTCATTTTGGTGTCACCCGGGTGCGGGCCGCACCCCCTGCACCCCACTTGTGACGCCACTGCTCACACTGCAAATATATGGCTATGAGGATGTATACACAGGAATGCCTAGTCACCCTCACACACCAGGAACTGCACTGCTATTTTTCAGAAGGATTTTACAAAAGGTACATTTTAAGGGTACAGCTTAGACACAGTTACCATTATTAGATGTTCCCTATAACAAAGCAAATCTTCACTTCCTGAGGTTTATGTCCACTTGAAGCCCCATAATTACCAATGCCAGAAAGGTGTCAGGGGATGGACAGGGGTCTGCATCTGTAGACAGAGACAGTCCGGAAAAACAGGAGTGTACTCGAGGTACACAGAGACACAGGGCTCACAGAGGCACACATGAGTGACTGGGACATGGTGGCACAGGAGTCTCAGGGGACATGGAGGACACTGGAGGCACGGGGAGGCTCAGCTTTAGGTGTAGCAATGCTTGTTTACTGAGTGCTGATTGGCTCCAGTGCTGGTGGAACTTGGAAGTTCTGGCTATTGTGTGTAGGAGAAGAGACAGGGAAGAATGGATTGGGGATAACAAGGGGCACTGCTAGTGTAGGTTCAATGGTCCCTGACGCTAGTAGTGAAGGGGGAATTTGAGCTGAATGCCTCAGTACAGACTAGTGCTTAGCGAAGGGTTTGCTTCATGGTAAACTGAACACTGCACTTTCATGCTATAGCACTTCAGTGGAAGCACAGAGCAGGAAGTTGGAGCAGGATATGCTCGTGTTTACATGACCTTGTTCTCAAATAAAAAGTCTACTTCTAGCTCTGTGATGTCATCTCATCTATAGGCTCGGGTTTGTGCGGCAAGTCTGCTGCTCTGCGCCATCCTTTGGCTGTGCTGGAGGAGAGCTAACGTCAATGAGCAAGAGGAGCACCGGCCATCTTATCTACCTCATACACTAGAGCTCCGGGGATACAGCCGACTACCAGATGGGGAGGTGAGTAAAAAATGATGTGACCTCATTTCACTTATGAAAGTCCTGTCTTAGGGTCTGAGTCGTTGGGCTTTGGGCTTGTGTTGATGACAACCGTTTATCATCAGTGTGAGATGCTTCTGAGATCCTCCAGAATTCATTGACAGGATCACTTGAGCTGCAGTTTGCAAGCTTCAAGCTGGTTTTGCATTCCCATAGACTTGTATGGAAATGCAAAAGCCATTTGATGTGAGCAAGAGCCATTGACACGGACCATTATATTGTTGTTCCAAGTAGACCCAGTTAGTAGAAATGCCTGATAAAAGTACAGTGTTTCTGCACCAAGCTCCCTCCATGATCAGCTCCCTCTTCTTCACTGAAATAGACTTGTCAGTTTGACAAACCTGAGCTTGCAACGTTATGAAGCTCTGAAAACATTGTGCATTGAGGGCAGTTGGATTGTGGCTGTACATCTGACTACCCTCTAAAGCAGGGGTAGCCAAACTGCGGCCCTCCAGCTGTGGTGGAACTACAAATCCTATGGGGCATTGCAAGATTATCACAGCCACAGACATGACTCCCGGAGAGAGATGCATCATGGGATTTGTAGTTTCACCACAGCTGGAGGGCCGCAGTTTGGCTACCCCTGCTTTAGAGGGTAGTCAGATGTACAGCCACAATCCAACTGCCCTCAAGGCACAATGTTGGCTACCCCTGCTCTAAAGTCTATGTACAGCTCAACATAGATATTCCAAACCACCCAGTGTATTCTTATATCTCTCAGACCTCCCAGAAACAAGATCTCTGCACCAACTTCTGTGGAATCTGGGAATGCAGTGATAGATCTTACCACTCAAGACCCTAGAAGTTTCAAAGGGCAAGTTTACCCAAAAGAGATATTTAATATATAGGTGGAGCCTGTTGTATCTTGATGACTCCACGATGGGATCTCCACAGGTAGAGGTAGGAGAGCCTGGTCTCACCCGTGCCCCAACCTGATGGAGCACCACCAGGCCGGTGAGCTCATTCCTCTTCTCCCCCTGCCTCATGTTTCTGTAAGCTTATGTGCACTGCAGTACACCTGATTGGCCCCTAGTGCTGCTCCTCCCTCTCTTTGAGGGTTCTGGCGTACAGGGGGTTAAATGACGCTTCAGATACTTAGACTAGTTGCATCCAAAACCACATTGCCATTTTATTAAAGGAGAATTATGAGGCGAGTGATTTTCACTCAGCCTCATAATCTGAGCCGACCTGTGACAATGAGACTGTCACAGGTCGGCTCAGTAGATCGGGAAGTGAGCGAGCACATACCGTCGCTCGCTCACTTCTCAATCTATCCGTGCAGAGAGCCGTGACTGTCACTCACGGCTCCCTGCAGGGATTCCCCCTGTCCGATCGGACGGACGGGATGGGGGTGGGTACAGCTGGCTCTGCCTCTAGATAGGCAGAGCCAGCTGTCACTCACGCAGCTGGGTGGATCCAGACAGAATTGTCGGGATCCATTCCGGCTGCGGCGTCTCAGTATACCGGGAGTTGTAGCTTGCGGTATACTGAGCTTAGGGTGACGGGAGGACGCTAGTTTGTGTCCTCCCGTGACCCTTAGGAGAACTATGGGGAAAAGCACTGACCCCATAGTTCTCCTTTAAAGCTACTCCTAGAACAGTGTTGTTCCCACCTCTGTTCCACCCACTTTAAAATTAGATGAATTAAAAACCCAGTGGGGAGAGTCAGAACCGCTCGTAGTTGCAGTGGCAGACCAGGTAACGCATGTCCTGAGACTTTTATCAAGAGTGATAAGAAGATAAAAAGGGATTTAAGGGTGTCCCAGGTAAACAACTAAATCAATGGAAAAAATACATAACTGGGAGGATTTGTATCTGTGTCCACCCATCTCGTGAGATTTTGAAGGCCCTGCCAGACAGCTCAAGCGTGTTAGTCAGCAGCTTTTCTCTAGTGCAGTAAGAAATATAGATCGGTCACCATCCCGCCCCCAACCTGTGGTTGGACAATGAAGGAGCAGCAGAACACTTATAAGCTCCTCTCCCTCTAAGCTGTCTCCTTCTATCAGCATGTTCAGTGTCAGCACATGTGTACTGCAGCACAGCTGGCTGTAACTACTACCACTCGCTCTCTTAAGCTGGCCATACACCTTCGCTTTTGTGGTGCGATGGTTGTAAGGTAATTAAAATCTCGTACGACCTGCCCATCTTGGACAGGCAGATCGTACTTGCGATCATCGCAAGCCCTCCCCGCTGAGGGGAGGGCTTCCGATGATTCCAATGCTGAGTGGGCAGTGTGCGCTCACTCTTGCGATTTTCGGCGGGTTTTAAGCGTGCTCGGAAGACAAAAGACGTGCAACCGTACAGTAGAAACGGTCGCACGCCTTCCATACACCTGCCGATTATCGTACGATCGCGGGATCACCCGCGATTATTGTACGATAATCGGCAGGTGTATGGGCACCTTTTAGTATGTGTTCAGCGTAATGGGATTACCAGAGGCTGATACCAAGTGAAAATCTACTAAAGTCAAAAAGCTACGTACACTATCTGCATTAAAAGGCACATGTATTGGTTTTCTTATTGAAGTGTTTGTTTTATTCCCCACAGCCACTGGTCAGAAACCTATGCCAGACGTGCTCGGTGGTGTCCAGTTCTGGCCAGATGCTCGGCTCTGGCCTGGGGCCACAGATAGACCAGGCTGAGTGTGTCTTGCGAATGAACACTGCTCCCACGGTTGGCTATGAATCAGATGTGGGCAGCCGTAGCACGCTAAGAGTTGTGTCCCATACCAGCGTTCCACTCCTTCTCCGTAACCAGACCTACTTCTTCCAGCAAGCCCACGAGACGGTGTACGTCATCTGGGGTCCTCCTAGGCAGATGGACATTGACCATGGGATTACCTATCGAGCCTTATTGCAGGCAAAAGGCAGATATCCCGGAGTGAACGTCTACATACTGACACAGAATATGATGATGCACTGCGACCATATATTTCAGAATGAGACAGGCAAGAACAGGTAAGTGTGCAACTTTCTCTTATACCCCATGAATCCATTTTATCCAGTGCTTAAAGGAGAACTATGAGGAGAGTGCTTTTCACTCACCTCATAGTTCTAGCCGACCTGTGACAATGAGACTGTCACAGGTCGGCTCAGTAGATCGGGAGGTGAGCGAACACATGTGAAGCGAGCGAACACATCGCTCACTTCTCGATCCTGTCACGGCTGTCTGCCATGACAGGGGAGGGGATGGATTCCCCCCTCCACGCTCCGATCCGCCAGCGCTGACTGGCGGAGCGGACGGGGGAGGGGGCGGGTACAGCTGGCTCTGCCTCTAGATAGGCAGAGCCAGCTGTCACTCACGCAGCTGGGCGGATCTCGACATCAATGTCGGGATTCGCTCCGGCTGCGGCGTCTCAGTATACCACAAGCTGTAGCTCGCGGTATACTGAGCTTAGGGTAACGGGAGGACGCTAGTTTGTGTCCTCCCGTTACCCTGAGGAGAACTAGGGGGAAAAGCCCTGACCCCATAGTTCTCCTTTAAGGCTCTGTTCACACCTAGGCGTATCGAATATGCGTGTTTGTTGCGCGTTTCGTAACGCGTGTTTTTACCGCGATTCGCTTGGCTGTATCCCAATGGAAACACGCGACAAAAACGCTGCAAAGAAGCTCATGTACCTTTTCAGGCGTAGGCCGTTTTGTAGCGCGTTCAGGCGGGCTGAAATACGCCAAGGTGTGAACCATACCCATAGACAATTTAATGTTTGAGCGTTTTGTAGAGCGTTCGTAGAGCGTTGAACGCGCTACAAAACGTACAGGTGTGAACCAGGCCTAAATACTGGTTGAACTTGTTTCCTTTGTCCTTTCATAGGTAGCCCTGAATGACCTTACATGTGCTATAATGGAAGGTGGGGGTTGGGGGGCTAGCTTTAGGAACTGTTATTCACTGCTAGGAGGAGAGGTTGGAAATGGCAGCTGATGTATATTTCCCACGGCAGGTTTTATTTACAACTTTCCAGCAACTTGATGTTCAGCTCAGTGAATGGAAGCCTAAGCTCTTCCTTTTCATTTTGCAGGGCGATGTCTGGTACCTTTCTGAGCACTGGTTGGTTCACAATGATTCTGGCCATGGAGCTGTGCGACGAGGTCTCTGTCTATGGGATGGTCAGCGAGAACTATTGCAGGTATGGGTGAGGTGGAATAAAATGTCCCACTTTTCTTTAAATCATATTCCTGTTGAAATTAAGCCTTGAAATGTATGCAAAGAACAAAGGACACCTCATCATGGCATTGCTATAGGGCACACATCCACCCCCGTCCATTTTTGTTGGTGATCTGGGAACCCCTGCCTGTGACAAAGAGGAATTCCTAAACACATTCCCTTGCTGTCTCGGAGACCCTGAACAATGAAAGTGTCAGCATGGTCTAAATCAGGGGTGGAGAAATTATTAGGGAATTCAGGAGCCAGTCTGTCCAATCCAGGAGCCAGCAGAATTGTTTTAGGAGCCATCTGCATTGAAAACAACTAGAGAAAACCTTAAAAGTTAGGCGCCAACTTTACTTTCGAAGGAGCAATGGCTATCTGGCTCCTGGGATTTGTCCAGCCCTGGTCTAAATTCAGCCACTAATTCGGACCAGCCTATCTGGTCATACAGTACATAGACTGATAGGAATTGACTTAATATAGGCGTCAGGAAGCCATACCTGTGTGGAACGCACTGGAATCCAGTTTCGATGCATTACATAGAACTCACATTAAGGTAAACTGGGCAGATTTGCTGACGGAGGCACAGTTGCAGTGTATGCTGTCTAGCATTAGCAGTTCCACTTGTAGGCTGAGTCTCAGTGGAGGGTGACATTGCAAGGACTTGGCAAAGTGCTTGACGTTGGAATTTGTGGTGTTCCGACAGTGTACATTAAGCCATACACATGCCTGCAATTCTAGAGCTTCATGTTGCTTTCTGCTCACAACTGTCAGGCCGGAACCAACTCCTTTCTTATGACATGGCCTCATCCTGGCGGGGGGGGGAGGGGGTCCACAAAATGGCTTGAGCATGGACAATGGATAGTCTGCTGCTACATGCTTGTACATCTGGTCTGTTAAAATGCATTAGCTGTATGAAGTCATTTGGCAGATATAACCTTTTACCTTCTGATTTCCTTTTTCCTGTCCTCTGAGAGTTCTTATCAAAGCCCCAAGCCATTTGGCATTTCCTTTTGTTTTCTTAAGCCGTCTCTTTCAGGAACTAAAACAATAGCGGTGGGCTCATTCTTCCAACAATAAGTCTTTTGCAATAGGGTTGCCATGGTGGTGTTACTAAGTCAAAGGAGATATGGCATTGAGGGATTCTAATTAACACCTTTATTACCAGCAAACATGTGATGAGGCGGCAGCTCTACTGTGCGGAGTGAGGGGGGGGGAACAAAGCTGGAGCAAACATCCTATGTGACCTGTGCCAGACAATAATGAGCAGGCTATTAGAAACAAACATGTCAGAGGGCTGTAGATACTTTATTTAATGGACATTGAAGCCTGCTATAAGAAAAACATGTAATTTACCTTTCCTTTTGAGAATGCTAATTGGCTGAAGCTTTGGTTGCAATCGTTTCTAAGGGACCTTTAAGGCGGTTGGTCTGTTTTGCAAGGAAGATCTGATCGGGAGCCCAATGTTACTCTATGGGCAGCCAGATGTAAATGGACCTGTGTCTGTTTACCCCCGGACTCTGCCTAGGTCCGGAAACAAAACACGGAACGGAGTTCTGTTTTGGTGGACCTGATCGAGACGGATCAGAGGTAATCTGATGTAAACACACACATGTCCGCTTACACCCAACTCCCTACAGAACTAACATGGGTCGGGTTAGTTCAGATTGTTCTTTGATCGCAAGTGACACAGGTTCTGTTCTGTTCTGATCAGCAGGGAATCTGTGCATGGTTCCCCTGCTGATCTGAACAGGCAGCGCCTGTCTGAAAGGGGCTTATGTCTCTGACCCACAACAAGGCTCCTTTGGGACTTTTCCCGGACTTCCATTTGCTGCATGCTTGTTTTGGTTGAATCCAATGACGACAGAATTCTAAATCTGAATACTTGTCCCAGGTTAGACTTAGAAAGTACTACAACCATTTGATGATGCTGACAGCCGGGGAAATAACATTTTCAAAAGTAGGGATCAAGAATGCCAATCCCTAACAAAGGTTTCTCTTATGGTTGATTGCTGGAAACAGCTCCATGGGTTATCTTTACTTCCATGGTGGCTGGCACGATTAAAGCTGACTCTTGCCCTCTTCTCTTTGTTCTTTAAAAGTTATATAAACCCTAACATAAGTCTTCTATTTACTTCCTTGTGTCTGGTACAAAACAAGCAGGGGAGGGTGTTCTGTAGTCATAAATAGTTCGTACCTTAGGGTGACAACACTGTGCTCCTCCATAGATATAGTACAATGAGCATTTGTTGTCACCCTTGGACAGGAAGTGTGTGACTAATGCAGCCACCACATCTAAGGACTAGTAAGCTGTAATGTATTATATTTTGTTCTTGGGTTTATACTCTGGTGTTCTTACAGGGATCGCTCACACCCCCCGGTGCCTTACCACTACTATGAGAAGGGCAGGCTGGACGAATGTACCACGTACCTGATGCACGAGAGGGCCACTCGAGGGGCGCACCGCTTCATCACGGAGAAAGCCGTCTTCTCCCGCTGGGCCAACAAAAAACGCATCCATTTTATGCACCCCTCGTGGGCAACTTGAGGGCCAGATCCCCCCTTCCACCGTGTGCAGCTCTTGTGCAGCCATTTTACCACACGTACATACGGCGCCGTCAACTTTCTGGTGGGATCGCAGGGTTTGCCAGTCTCTGAAAAGACAGAAAGGAGCGGAAAAATCAGACTATCTTGACACCTCAAGGAAAGAGCCATTCTGTATCATGTCCACCTACATTCATGGTATTCCGAAGGTGCTTGTCAGGTTTGCTGTCTGACAATGTTTGGTTGAGGAGTAGGTAAAGTAAGTGGAGGCACATAAACATGATAGCAGGTTTGGCCAATCCTTTTATTAGCAGTATTATTAGGTGATGTGGATGCAGTATTTCAGCTTGGCTAGCCAACATTTAGTACTGTAGCCAGGATCAGGCGCCACGCAGAGTATTCTGCTCCTTTATTAGCATCCACACGCTGCCTTATGCAGAAAGGCCAAGCAAAGAACAAATGGGCTCAAAGTTACAATGCAAAGCACACAATAGATGTGCATTGGGAGCCAATCGCAAATCAGCTATAAACTCATCAGTATTATTCTTTGAATTGCCATTCTTACAGCTCAACTCTGGCTAAAACTTGAAAGAGGTTCTAGCTCTTCCCTGCTCTATTCAGACCTAATAGTTTTAGGCCTCATTCACACTGTAATCGGCGGACACATACAGCTCCGTGCTGCGTGCAGGGCCGTATCGGGCAGCTCCCGGGAAGGACAGGCGCTGCGTGTGATTAGTACGCAGCCCCCGTCCTTCTCTATGGGACTACGCAACCGTACGCCCCCCTTACGCTCACCTAAAGTGCAGGTTCGTAGGGGTGCGTGTTTCCTGGCTCGGACGCAGACAGGATCCATTCTGTCAGCGTACGAGTACGCTCACCCGCGCCCGTACGGACGTGCAGGGCGGGTGAACATAGGGGGGCGTATGGCCGCGTAGTCCCATAGAGAAGGACAGGGGCTGCGTACTAATCACACGCAGCACCTGTCCTTCCCGGGAGCTGCCCAATACGGACCTTGACGCAGCGCGGAGCTGTACGTGCCGGCCGATTACAGTGTGAATGAGGGCTTAAAGTCCACCTCCGGGCAGAAATGATATTTTATAGATAGATATTAAATTGTTTGTCCATGCAGATAGTGCTTTTAGTTTGAACAAAGATTGCGCATGATGGAGGAGCACAACTGCAAACTCAGATTGCACATGGTCGGGTCCCAGCAGTTCCCGTGGAGCAGACCTGTCACCCCTGCGTGCAGTAGGTGACTGTTCTCTATAACGACCACTATTACTTTTCATTTCAAAGTTTTTATTACAAACATGGGTCAGTAGACATAACTACGGGACCATGCATTATACACATCACTGCCAATACAGGTGATCAACATAGGTAACAGATAATACTACATGTGGTCCTGTAATACATGGTAAGAGAGGAAACTATAATGAACAACCTAACGGAGTCAGGTTGAAGCAACCGTAATGTAAGATTACTAACGTCTACTCAGCTCAAAAATACAACATTCCATATTAGTGTGGGTTGAAAAACATAATAACACAGAGTCCCAGAGAGGGAAAAAGAAGAAAGGAATAAAGGGGGGGGAAGGAAAGATTCGGATAGGATATAGGACAGAAAGAGGGGGTGGATCTCGCTACTTCGGTTAGACCGTTATTACTTTCATCTCAGGAAGCCCTGACGTCATCACGTCAGCACCGCCTTATTCAGAGGGAATGCAGAATGGGAATAATTAACAACTCCACTCCCGACCAAGCTGAACCCCCTTCCGGCAGCCACGCAAAACAGGCCTTTTGATCCTTACAGATGGCGTAACAGCTCCTGTTAAACAACTTTACATACACAGCAGGTGAACAATGTATTCAAGAAATACCTATTGAGAGGCTATGTGTTAAATTTGATCTTGCCTGCTATGTTTGGCAGGCGTCACAACATGCAAAGCTTGCTAAACGCCTCTATTCAAGTCAAATGTGGTCATTGGTATGCGCATGCGGAGTGCTACAGTAAGGGTGTTTCCTTCTTTTCCTTCAGATGTTCAGAAGTTGCTTGCTAACGCCTCCACAATCTACAATGTGTCTGAAACGTGAAGTAACGCTACAAGCGTTTCAGAAGCAGTTCAGTCTCAAGGCACATGTGAACTAGACCTCAAAAGTTTTGGCTGGAGTTGGGCTTCAATGAAGGTCATGTCAGACTTCTGGTTCTGTTCCCGGTGACTATTCGCCATCAGCAGAATCTCTGCAGTTTTTATTCTCATTATTGGAAGTCACTCTGTAGATAATATAAGTTGAATTTTAATGGTTATGTTGCTGGTGACAGAATTGTCCATCTGGCATGGGCCTAAGCCAGGTTGTATTTTTACAGAAATTCTGGGGAGTTAACCTGTCCCAGTTTTTTCTCTTGTTACAGGTTCTCTTTTCAATCACATTCAGATAAGCTTCTGAAACCTTTACATGCTTATTCAGTTAATGGAATTAGTTTCTATTTTATACAGTGAAGTTTTACTGGCCCTTTAAGTTGACATGGGTTTGTGTGTGTGTGTGCGGGAGTGTGCTCTTGTATGCTTTGTTTTATTATTACTTCCATTTATTGTGTACAGAAGGAAATCCCTTCAGGTACTTTACATTTGTCATGTATTATTTATTCAATACAACACTCGGTCTTAAAAGAGCCCCCTCCCCGAGGTTTTAGATGGGGAAGCAATTGGCATTGAGTGTGAAGGAACATTGCTTATGTCTCTGCTTTGCTGTGTTGACGTCCTGTGCCATAGTTCCTCTGCCCGGCCTTCCTTGGTGACTGGGTGGGGCCATTGACCTGACATGGCCATCATGGACAGAATGGGCTTGGCAGCTTAAATTGGTGGAGCATCAACAAAACATTACAAGCCAGTCATTCTCTCTCACATCGTTCATTAGTTAGTTCCTCGGGCGGGGTTCTCCTTTATAGGAAACCCCATTATTCATCTTGTTTTGAAAGGAGGGTTTTTTTAGACTTATTTTTTGTGGGGACAGAGTCACTTTAAGAAAGCCAGTTCTTGGGACGGGGTCCTTGTTTTCTTACATACTCTATGATATACTCATTACAATCATTAGTACCCAGCAGTAGAGCAGTGCTAACCTAGTAGCCAAGTAGGCAGGCAATCAACTCCAGCTAAGTTTTTGAAACTTTTTTTTGTTTACCATTATTGGAAATACTTCACTTATTTCCTGTAGAAGTGAAATAACATTCTCACAGCGGAAACAGGTCAATATTTCATATATGTGGGTCTGGCAGACGTCCATCAGCTGATTATATGGGGGGAGAACGTTTAATGAGATGGGTTCGAACGTCTGGTTTGACCTTTATCTTTCCACCTTGCATTAGGGGGTGTCAGGAGAGTCCAGTTTTCCTCTACCCTCCCTACAGCCAGTCACATGAACTCTCTGTCAAGCTGAAGAGTAATGTCTGTGCAGTAGTTTTGTTTGAGGACACCCTGAATGGCCAGAGGAGGGGTAAGTCCCCCTATTCTCTGTTTGCACCCTGAATGGCCAGAGGAGGAGTAAGTTGCTCACTTCTCTGTTAGCACCCTGAATGGCCAGAGGAGGGTTATGTCCCCCTATTCTCTGTTTGCACCCTGAATGGCCAGAGGAGGAGTAAGTTGCTCACTTCTCTGTTAGCACCCTGAATGGCCAGAGGAGGGGTAAGTCACCCACTTCTCTTTGCACACATGTTAGGACAGTGTAAATATCCATAGCCTGGCAACAAGTAACTTTAATCAGTGAATTAACACAATCTGCCAGGAAGCATTAAAGGGGAATTATGGGGTGAGTGAAAAACACTCATTCCCATAATTCAAGCCGGCCTGTGACACTGAAGCTGTCACAGGTTGGCTCTATTGATCGGGAAGTCGGCGAATACACACCGCCATCGCTAACTCCCTGATCCTCTCCCTGCAGAGAGCAGTGACTATCAGTCACGGCTCCCTACAGGGATTCCCCCCCTCTCCAATCCTCCAGCACTGACTGGAGGAACAGACATGGGAGGGGGCGGGCACAGCTGGATCCACCTCTAGAGAGGCTGAGCTAGCTGTCAATCAGCCAATGGGATGGATCTCGACAGTAGTGTCGGGATCCGTCCCGGCTGCGGCGTTCTCAGCATATAGCGAGCAGTAGCCCGCTATGTACTGAGTTTTGGGTCACGGGAGGGCACGTTATATGTTCTCCTTTACGGCAATGCTGGGCTTTATTATCAGAATGCCTTGCATTCTATGAAAACTGAGTTCAGCAGTGTACTAAACAATAAACGTTCATTGTAAAAATAAAGAATCTAAACAGGTAATTAAAAAAGGTTATAAGACATCGGTTTACTAATTTGTTAACTTAAAAAGAAAAAAGTTTCCCTTGAACCTGTCCAATTATTGGCTCTATTTCTCAGCCGAAGGTGTCTCCGGGTGCCCATTATTATTATACAGGATTTATATAGCGCCAACAGTTTGCGCAGCGCTTTACAATATAAGGGAGACATAATCACAATACAATTCAAGACAAGAAGGTAAGGAGGGCCCTGGCCCTGAGGGCTTACAATCTAAAGGGTGGGATTACATAATGATTATGCCATATCTAAGACCACCATCAGTCCTATAGTTTGGTCTATCTGCATTTTGTTCTTTGCTTTTCAGTAGTGTCCTTATATTAACAACGTTTTTTTATATTACCAATCACCCCACAGGATACAGCACCACTAAGCTGGAATGGTCCATTTCTCTCACTGGAAGGTGAAAGACCCTTTAAAGACGTCTTTTCCAACCAGACTCCCAGAAGCCTCTTTGTAGGTGCTTATCATCTGTCTGAATCACCCCCTCGCTATATACAAGGGGGGATTCATCTTAAAAGTAGCATTGCTCTGAAATTTGTACTCCATTGGCTTGTACGCAGGAGCCTGTTCGCCTGTTGTTTTATCATGACATTTATAATGGATTGAACGGCCAATTAGTGTATCGGGAAAACAGTCAACCGGTCTCTAAAAATGTTAATTTTCACCC